CCCCAAAAGAGGGTTCCTTTAAAGAGACAAGCCCATATCTGATTTTATGAAACCTGTTGCTCCACCTGTTTGGGTTGACTGAAACATAAAGAACTAGACTCTCCCCTTGGAAAGCTGTCGGGTGGTCCTTTTCTTTGGCTTCTCCTTCCTCTCGATGTCCCTGAAGACCAACCCCTAAAGGAGCTGTGCGTCAAAGGAAGACCACTGGCTTCCGACCCAGAGGACCTGAAGAGAATGGGCTTCCGAGTTTCCCTTTACGTTTGATGGGAGCTCGAAAAAGTTGATCACCTTTTGTTCCAGGTTCATTCCAGTTGCCTCCATGGTCTCTAGGGATTTACTGCTCTTCCTTGCAGATGGGTTTCCAACTGGTTACTTAGTGGGAGAACCCTTTGGAGGCTCTTCCTGTTTGTTTGGTTTCCCAACTGGTAACTCGAAGCGGGTGTCATCTACAAGCTTGGCCACCAGTTGGGGATAGACTAGATACTACGGTGATCTGAACGTGAACTGGAAGCACTGGCTTGACTCTGGCGAGACAGCTGAGGTGAGGAGGAGCGCAAAGAGCTCGTCTCAGCACCTCGGCTCGGTGTGGCCAGCGGGGCCAAGATCTGCGGTGGGCTTTTGACCTGCCATTTGCTTGTTGGATGATTTTAGTATTATCTCACCCCCTCCCCCCTATTGTTGGCAAAAGGAAGAAATTACCAGCACTGCTGTTGAACACAGGTCTCATTTGGGGCAAATGGAAGTAATAGTAACTGTTCCCTTGTGACATCCATTTTTCTTGGCAGCTCAACTTGGTGGCCTTTTGTACAGGTAGACCTGACTTAGACCCTTCGGAAACCCTTTGCGGGGGCTTGCTGAACGGGACCTGCGAAAGGTTGCAGGTCTTTGCTTGGGATGGGAGTGCTGCCGAGGTGTGCTCTCCCAAACAAGATCGGTGTCTAGCTTTCCACGTACCCGTGGCAAACCCTGTGAGGTGTCACTCGGAAAATTCCACTGAAAATAGCTGTTCGCGTACATCCCCCAATGTGCTGCCATGGTTTGTCTGAATGTAGACCGCGGCTTGGAAGTGCTATGCTTTGAGTCTAGGATATGGAATTGAATACCAGGTATTTTTTGCCCCCCCTCACGTGTGTTCTTCATTGCTGTGGTGAATGGACAGGTGTTCCTAAAGACCACCGGTTGTCTCTGTGAGGATGGTTAGTCAGAAGAGGGATTTCTGCACGAAAGCCTATGAAGATCGTTGATTGCCATTTGGTCTCCAAATCTTCTTGTCGTTGCCTTTGGACTACCTGATATATTGCAGACACTGTGTATGTATGTGTGTTCATCCTTCCAAGGTGACACAGGATTTATCCATTTGTCCAAGTGGTGCAGGTTTCAATCCATTAGCAACAACCATTTGAGCTGCAAATGGTTGAACATCATATTGCTATGGTGTCAACTGCACCCAAGTCCGCCCCAGTTGCTCCCGTGTCATTGCGTCTTGGTCAAGGAAGGAGAAGCTGGCTCTTTTGCATGAGCTTTCAGCAAGTGCGAGTTATTCAGGAGCGCAACATAAGGCTACAATGAGGTCGGGTTGCTAAGCGTCCTGCAAAGGCTTGCGTAGATGTGTGCCATTTTCCGTTGAACCAACACCCAGCTCGATGCAACATCAAGCCGCGGTGAACAGAGCCAAATTATCCAAGCGCCAGAGCCACACCATCAGCCGGTAAAAGCAATATCTGAAGGCAAGAAACACGCTGATGCCTTGGGCTGGGATGTTGAGTGGCGAACCGCTTTTTCCCCCTTTTTCCCCATGGTGGTTTCCCTTACAAGTCAACCAACCATAAAGGCGTCACATGTTTTCCCCCTACACCCACCCAACATCTGAGTGGTTGGCTGCTGCCTTGGGTATGAGTTTTGCCGTTTTTTCCCTTCTTGCTGCGCCTTCTCTGAGGCGGATTGGCTGGTGTGGTTCGACGCTGACCTCATGGCCTGATTGCTCAGAATCAACACCTTTTCTCCATTTGCTGATTGGTTGATGTTTTATGTTTTCCTACTAGATGGAAAGGGAAACCACCTCTACTGGAAAATGTTTTACTTTTTCAAGGTACCTCAAGCACATGGAAGCTTTTCTCGCTCAAAGCAGGGCCTTTTGTGACCTTTTCGTCCTCCTGTTTCCCTTTTCGGCGGGGTATCGCCAAGGTCAATCTGTCGATTTCAGATCATTTGAGCAAGTTTTGTTTCGTGATTGCTGCGGTTGGCACTAGTTGGAGATTTATTTGAGGCAGCCAGATACTTGCAGCAGGGAGTTTGGAACCGCACCAGGAATCTAAGCACCCCACGACCCAGACGCTGCTGTGTTCGAAGACACTCTGCAAAACATATTGTGCACTTGCGGTGACGACAACGCGCCCTGCGCATTGATGAAGTGCTTCTACAGTATAGATGCCGGCAACTTTGGAACCATACTTGTTGCTGCTTGTTGTCCTTGATTTGCATATGCAGGATGTTGTTTATTGTCTCCCCCCACTTTGCTGGTAAATGCAAGCAGCCACCGCTGGAAAATATGTCTGATACTTTCCAGGTGCCTAAGCTAGTTGAAAGAACTGTTTGACAGACCGGATCCAATTACCTCTACAAGACGCATGGATGTTGTCCTCTCCCTTCTGAAATGGAGGGGATTCTATACCGCCATTTCATTTGAAGGAGGGTAACTCTTAGGTTTTGGGTTTGGATTTGTTGCAGCGCCCCAGCCTGCCATGTGCCTTTGGTGAGGTGTTTGTAGCCATAAGAATCTGCGAGGTTGAGTGGCGAACATTTGGTTGACTCCTTTGCTTCTTGGGCAGTGCAGCTTCAAAGGCAACCGGCAATAAATGGTGTCCCTTTGCAAAGTTGCGCAAACATGTTTGTCGGAGATGGGATCGAGTCTTCATTTCAACATGCATCAAACTGCTCTAAGCAACAGCACACTTTTGCGCTCATCTACAATTTGCATACAAACACCTTGGCAGTGGAAGGCAGTTGGGGAACCCATCTCTGGTATTTGCTTAGACTGCTCAAGGTTCCTCAGCAGAAGGGAGTCTTTTGAGATCCCGCCCAAGCAATTCCACACTGAATACCTGCTAAAGCTAGGGGAAGTATCCTTCCGAATCCTAAGACATTATCCTAAAGACAAGGTTCTCGATAATCCTTGTGTCATTCCCCAAGCGGATGTTTGACCTCAGCCCTTTTTCGTCTCACCACTAGTCCCAGCAGCTTGTAATTGGTCAGCCAGAACGTCATCCTTCTTGTACGCGGTGGTTCGAATGGGAAACGCTTCTTGCAATTTGAGGTCCTGAACCACTCTTGGCCGCTCTCCGACTTTCTTTGCTGCACGAAGGCAAGCGGGCAGTGGAAACTGCCACAGGGTGAGGGTGGGCTTAGCCCTTAGTGTAATATCCAAAATTCTGGGTGGTCAACCCCCCAGCAACCCCTGGCAACCCCCTATCTCATATTATCTCATTGTTTACCTTTAAAAACCCTCCTGAACCAGGAGAATTCCAAGCCTCACGTTAGAGGCACTTGCAGTGATGCACGTGCAGTCCTGCACATCAAAGTGCCCAAAGTGCCATCAAGGCTGAATCAAGATTGACACCTCATGTCATTGCGTATTGTCCTTCCTGATGACGCCGTTGCCTTCAACCCACTCATTCTTCGCTGTTGTCATGCCAGCTTCCTTTTGCTTATGAATATGCGCTGTGTCTTGTTTGTGAAGGGGAACCACCAACATCACTACTTCAGCAGTTGCTGTTTCAGTGTTCGTTTCTCATTTTTGCCTTGAGCAAATGGAAGCAGTCAGTTTCAACCCACTCTTTGACATCGTTTTGCCAGAGTGTGGTTCTAGAAGGTGTTCAGTCTTAGGCTCTGCTGGTCAAAGCTTGGGGAGATTGGGGACAGCTAGCTAGACCCATCTTGATGAAGGTTTCAACAGGGGTTGCCAGAAAGGCTTCCATCTTATTTCCCATTTGCTAAGGATGTGAGTTGTTTTGTGTTGATAATCAAGGGAAACCACCACTGCTGGAAAATATCTGTTTTTTTCAAGGTACCTTTTGCGCAAATGGAAGTTGTGGGGAGCATGACCCACCAGCACGGTGTTGCATTGTGGTTTCAAGCAATGCCCCTAGCGATTCCCAGCGCCGCATTTGAATGGAGATGTTTATTCGCTGGGAACTATCCACGATTTTTTGCGGGGGGACCCCTTTCTGAGGTTGGTCTTCTCTGGCTTCCCCGAAAAAAAAAAAAAAAAACATCCAAAAAGGATAAAAGAGGTACTACGGTACCCTATTTTGAGAAACAGCCCCAAATATAGCCATTGCTAGGGTCTGGTTTTCTTTTACCAAGTTTTTTCTGTCTCTCAGCGAGGGCCACCAATGCCACCGATGGGACTAGCCATTGCTTCAGAGACTGCGACCCCTTCGGGGGCGGGATCCGGGTCCGAAGCCAGTCCTAACGGAAGTCGACCGCACGAAAGGCACAAGCACAAAAGGGGGGGGGAGTTTTTGGGGGTACGCATGCAATTGATTTTGAAAAAAAAACACAAAATGCGTTTGTTTGTACAAAACCGGGGGGGGTGGAAAAAATGGTAAAAGTAGGGGGCCTGGGGGGTGGCCCGTTGAGGGTTGCCTGTTCTGGTTTTTATGTTCAGCTCAAAAATGTTTTCCCCCTCATTCGTTTTTTGTTGGTTGTTTTTGGAGGGGGGAAATATCGTTTTCGTTAAGGTGGAACATTTGGGTTTGTTGTGCCTGTTTCATTGTTGGTCTGGGGGGCAATGTTTTGAACGAATGAAAGAGTTAAGGCTTTAAGTTGTTTCATGTTCTGGGGTGTTGGGTGAGCCTTTTGTTTTTGCAGTTGTTCCTTGCCCCGCGCTGGCTTTGTCGTCTTCATCCTCGGCATCTTCATTTTTTTTCTGTCGGGACGCCCAGTGCTTGACGAGCGACGATGCAGGACATCACGAGCTATTGTTTGCAGATGTTGTGTTTGCGCTTGGTTTGGGTGTCTTTGAATTTCGGTTGCCATTGACTCTCAAGCCACGTGACCACATACAGAATGTTCCGTCCGTGGTGGAGAAAGGTACAGGAGAATGCTGTGCCCCTCCTTGCCAGTGGCATGGTAAGCGGCTCGGGCATGGCAGTCGTTTTCAATGCGACAGAGGAGTACAGGATGGCTCGTGCCATTCAGAAGGGGCGTTTCCGCCCAGAGAAGCCCAAAAGCTTTGAAGAGAGATTCCAGAACTTTGACCTTCCGACCATCCACCGGGGACTTGGCACTGAGGGCATGGTGGCTCTCATCGGTCTCAAGGCCACCGGGAAGAGCACGACCCTCCAACAAGTCCTGTGGGAAGCGGACAACCCCTTCTACATGAAGGTCTCCCACGATGATGCACACCGAGCCATCCACAATCAGCTGCGCAAAGGCATTTGGACACTCCCATGGTTCATGGATGGCTTTCGCATGGATTGGGAGAAGGGACATGAGGATGTGGTGACCGAAGTCTTCAAGATGGTGCTGGAGCAAACCCAGAAGCCCGTGCGGCTGGGTTTTGACATTGTGGATGAGCCCAAGCACGGCATCGATGCCCCATTGTTCAAGAAAGCTGTGGAGACTTCCACAAAGCATGATGTCCAATTCCTCACGAACTTTGACGCAAAGCTCTTCGTGAAGCGGGTGAAATACCTATGCGCAGACAGGCACGTGTCATCAGCCCTCTTTGCCACCAGCGAGGGTTTGCAGATGCTCTCAGTGCAAGAGCCCCGTCTGCGCAAGATGCTCGGGAGGGAGTTGCCCCTTCCCAAGGCCAAGGAGTACGTCAAGTCCATGGGCGTGGAGGGCATCCCTGACGAGATGCTGACGTGCATCCCCCGAACCTTTGAGACTTTGCGGGAATTGGCGGCAACTCCTGACAAGCAGGTCTTCTGTGACAAGGAGATGAAGAAGTTGGTGGTCGCCGTCAAGGAGTCCAATGCGGAGGCCTTCAAAGACGCCAAGGGGCTCTACCACAAGGCCCTACATGGCCCAATTGACATAGATGACATCAGAGCCACTATGTCGGGCACGGCTACCTTGGCGGGTGAGCCCAAGGAGGTCTTCATCAAGCACATGGTGAAGACCAACATCTTCACACCACGAGATGATGGACTTTACGAGTTGCAGTTTGACTGTCAGCACAAAGCTGTCAAGAAGGTCTTTGACAGTGGCTCGTGTTTCACTCCAACAACATACCGTCCAAGGACAGTTGATTGAGCAAAAAGTGCAATACCTGCGCTCATCGCGCTTGTCCTCAACTTGTGGCTTGAGCGTGTGTGTGTGTGTGTACCTTCTCAAACCCCGGAATGTCCCAAATGACCATTTCACAACCGCGAAATGAACTTTTCAGAAACCCGAATTCAGAAAGCCAAACCACAAATTTCAGAAGCCCGAAACACCACCTCAATGAAGCGTGTTTTCTGTTTTCATCCGATTTTCCATTTCAGAAATCCAGATTTCCCTTGCCAGAAATCCATATTTCCCGTGCCAGAAATCCAGATTTCCCTTGCCAGAAATCCTGATTTCCCATGCCAGAAATCCAGATTTCCCATGCCAGAAATCCAGATTTCCCATGCCAGCAATCCAGATTTCCCTTGCCAGAAATCCAGATTTCCCGTGTCAGAAACCCAGATTTCCCATGCCATCAATCCAGATTTCCAATATCGGAATTGCCAATTTTTTGGAGGTGGCTCTCACCACGCTGAGGTTGAGAAGTCATGCTGGACATCACCAACCGCATCTGTCATCTTCAAGGTTTTGCCGAGGGCTGGGATGGACTGGGATTTTTGTTTTCAACAAACTAACCCCTAAACACTTACAATGTCCAATTCACCATCCGTATAAAAGCAAACAAGCGAAGATGTCACTCATCAAATCAGCAGAAATTTTGTATATGTCATTCTATTATGCTTTGGGCATCCATGATGCCAATCAACCCTTTTACCCAATGGCAACCATTGAGCAGTTTCAAGTTGTTTTCCATTCCTCACCTTCCCACAATCCCCTTTACACAATGCTTTGGGTTAATAATAGATTCAATGTTTGGCTACAACCTGGTTCGTTTCCCGTAGTTCATCCCACACATGCAGTAATCCACATCATAGTACCCTAAACCACTCATGAAGGGTTGATAAATCAGTTTGAGGGTTCTCAATCACCCACCACTTCGTTTTGAAATAGTTGATTATTTCAAGGGTTCTCAAAACAATACTGTTGGCATAATCTATCTTTCGGACACCCGTTGTTTTTGCCTTACTGTATTCAGTGCATGGAGGGGATGCCCATATAACATCAAACTCACCTACATCAAACTGTTTATAGTCCCAACTCAACATGTCAGTATTGATGTCAGCTTTTTTCAAATCTAGTGAGATGACACTAAAACCCAAATCTCTGGCAACCCTACCAACCGACCCTGCGCCACTAAATAGTTCTAATAATTTCATATTATTAGAACTATTTAGATATTAACATTTTCACTTACATATCGTCGGTGTTTGTCGCTTCGCTCGTGTCTTCTTATATCACATTTCCTGAAAACACCGCCACATTCACATTCAATGCTTTCTTTTCTTTTTTCCAGTATTACTTCTTTGTTTTGGTGGTAATGTTCCCTACTTTTATCACATATATGTTCTTTGTTCTTTTCAGAGTATTCCTTCCTCATATGTTGGTAATGCTCTTTATTATCCTCTTTCCACTCATTAACAGTTCTTCCAGCAACACATCTATTAACACAGTCAGTATTTTTAATGTAATAACCTTCTCTTTTAAGTAATTCTTCTCGGTTTTCACACGGATAGTTTTCTATTAATTCAATTTTACAGTTTTCCATTCCATACTCATCAAACAATAAACCACAAGTTGTTTTAGTGTTCCATTCCTTTGCTTTCTTATGATTTTGTCTATGTCTTGCCATTCTTTGACTTAAGTTTTCACAGGTGCTTCCAATGTAGCATTTGTTATAACCAATATCTGTTACTTTGTAAATCTTCGCATTTCTATATTTACTGCACTCCATAAATAACATAATGTATCTTCTCTTTAACGCAGTTTGTAATGACGCGTAGCTTATTAGGCTACTGCTTTGCAATAGCGTAGTGTCGCAAAGCTCACGAAGCATTTCATTCTGAAATGCTGTAGTGACCATATGGTAATGAAGTAAAAGCATCATAATAATATCTTTTGTTCTCATAATTACTGAGGGATTGTTTCACTTGAGACATTGAGTATATTTGATGAGACTTACTCCTAATGAAGTTGTATGTTATTTCATGCTTCTTGTTATGGTATAGTGCTTCTTCGTAGTTTCGGTATGTCAGTTCTTTCTTCACCTTATGTTTTACTACACCTTTTGATTTCTTCTTTTCTTCTTCTTCTCCGTGAATTGTAAAGGCGCATGATTTAGGTTTTAACCCAATGAATTTTGTTATTATTTGGCCGTTGCACTCGTCCTTGAAAAACCCCGAGCTTTTTCTTATTGGTTTTGTCATGACACGGATGTTCAACAGGATAATCGCTAAAGTCCATATACTGGTGTAATTCCTTGAAGTCCTTATAGATGTCATCGGTGAAAGTCTGTATTACATAACTATCAGTATCAGTATATACCAGTTTGATGTGTTCATTATACTTCTTCTTAAGAACATCGTAGTAGAACTGATACATATGTAATTTACTTATGTCAAGGATTGTCATTCCTAAGAAAATAGGCTTATCCAACTTTAGAACCGCTTTAGTCTTTTCAACTCCTACCAGGTTTTCATTGATAATAAATCTATTTTTGAATGTTGGGTTATTCACGCATTTCTCATATCTAACCTCATTATCAACCAGTTCAAAGTCCATGTGGTTTCGCTTATCTTCCATAGTCTTGCCATATACAGAATTATTCATTAACTTAAACAAATCTGTTTCAAAATCACTCTTGGCTTCTTTCCTTTTACCAGTGTTGAAATCAATCCAAGGCTTCAACCATGCCCGTTGTTGAAATTTGATAATCCTATGGACTTTGCCCATTTTCAAGCCCATCTTCAGATAATACTGTAAAGTCTTAATATGAACCACATACTTTTCTTTATCCTTGAGATTTAGTATTACTGTAACTTACTAGTTTTCTCATCCCTTGGATTTTTACCGTCATAATAAACTTTATAGACTTCCTTCACCTTTACATTCATAATCTCAGGCGCCAATGGATAGTCAGAATGGTAGTCATGTAATTCTTCAGGATACTCTAAATCAACTTCCATGATATAACCGAACTCATCGTTTTCATTCCAGTTTTCAACATTTGGTGTTTTCTTTGCCCACTTGATATTTTTCAAGGGCAACTTCTGAGACATTGCCAAACCATACAAGTTGTTAGCATCTAAATAACTGATATAGCTTGATGGTTTTTTGTCATCATATGCTTCCTCCATGTATTTATTATTAGCCACTGCTAACTTATGACTTACCTGACACATGCCCCCTCTCATTCCTTGTTCAACCATCTCATACATCGTTTGGTCATGTAACTGTTCAATTTCAACACCAGTTTTCAGAAGCATCGCGTCCCAAGCGAAATTTGGTAACGTGTAATAATGAGCAGGGTCCAAACCGTAGTATTCCATACATAAATCTCTAAAATTTTCAAAGACATCAGTCAATAATAAAACATCAGTTCTTAAATACAAGTCATGATACTGTCCTAATGTTCTAATTCCAAAATGTTTCCACACCTTCTGAGCCCTTTCATAATCTTTATCACTCACATTTTCTTCACTCAACTTACTGTAAAAGGCTTCTTTCGGTGGTAATGTCCTTTCCTTAAATCTTTCAAAGTCATCAAAGTAGTCATAAGGATAAATGCCTTTATCGGTCAGTAAATCTAAATCCTCATCAGTCTTAACATATGGGTTTTTGACACTGTATCTAAAATTGTTCTTCCAGTTCTCACGCTTCACATCCCCCTCATATTTAGACAATTTAACTAACTTATCCAAAGAAGATGATAAGAAACTGAAACTGTCCTTGAAACAAAGGTTTTTAAACCCAAAGGTAATAAACTTTTCACTATTCTGGGCTATTACATCTATTTTAGAATTTTTATTAAGTTCGTGAGCCTTGTTAATGATTAAGTGGGCGTCGTAGTTTTTAAGGTTATGAAAAAAAACAGGGATTTTACAATACCTCATACTGAAACGAAGATTACATGCTTCATGAGCACATCCTCTATACTTCCCCGTAAAGTGGCAATGGTCCCAACACTTTTTTTTGCCTTCCTCAAACTTGTTTCCACAAATGAAGCAGTTAGTGGCATTATTGAAGTCCTCCCAGTCAGCCTCTGTTTCAATACGGTCTTTATCCTCTTTCATTCTTTCTAAAATATCCTCTCTTACTTTATTGATTTTCTCAACGAATTTGTCCATACAATCTTCGCCTCTGTATAAATAAGGCTCACTGCTTCCAGTAATAGCATTGACTACATTAATCATAAATCCACTCGGTCTATGTTCTTGATAAGATGTTGTTTTTGCTTTTGCCGACTTGCTTTTCTTATCAATGGGCACCGTCAAACACTCAAAGTCAGCATATATTACGAAGGGGGCTTTCAGTTTCTTGAAATGATTTTTGGAGGTTATTGTGTCCCCCGCTTCAGGCATTTCTATTTTCTGACCTTCAACTGCTAGGCATCCTCCTTCAATATGTTTATTTAGAAGTTCTTCGGTCTTGAACCCATGACAGCAGGTTCTACAATGATACTTCTTCGCCTTCATCTTGTTAGTTTGACTACTCATCAGCTTGTCATAATTTTTGATAAAAACATAGTGCGATTTAGTCCCTTCATCTAACTTAATCAAATCTATCTTATGTTGAGCTTGTGGGTTGTTAGACCTTTTGTATAACAAAATGTTCTTAGCACTAGCATCAGGGTTTATGTAATAAACATTGACAGATATGTGTTTATTATCTTCTTCAAACTTTTCAATCTCATCATTGCCCACAGGAAACTCTACATTATCCCACTTGATGAAACTGTCATTGACATATTTCTTATAATGATACATGTCGCAGGGATGGTCTTTTTTGTATATCTCATAAAATCCACATTGAACTGAATATTTAAAACATAAGTCATCCTCATTTTTTAATGTTGATACAAGCCTTTTTATTAGCCACCCAGTCAGGCAATGGAATGAAGGATGAGCCACGAGTAGGATTGTAACGGTCATAACTGATAACTAATTTTTTAACTTGAGCAAGAACCAACCCCGATTGAATGTATTCAGTGATTTCAATCTGAACTTCAATGTCGTGAGCAAGGTTATTCAAGACACCGTTCAGCTCAT